CACTTCCTGCTCACCGTGCTTTGGCCAGAAAAAACCATGTGTCCCTAATCCAACTCTGCAAAGGAGACTAAGAAATGAAGACAGACATTTATCAAGTAATCCCATAAATGGATATTTGGTAAGGAGAATCTACCACATATACTTTCCCCAGATTTCAGGAAAGCAAATATTGAAGTGCTCAGAGTATCCCATTTGTATAAGAACAAATCTATATATGCCTTGAAAAAGGAAAGAATGAAAGAAAATACACCAAAATAGTAATAGTGAATACCTCTAGTTATTTAATTTTTTGTGGGTTTTATCTTCTTTTTATATTCTTTATATTTCCCTAGCAATATTTAATAATCATGTTTTAGAATCCAGAAAAGTAATCCAAGTTGTTTTTTAATTGTGAAACAAGTTCAGACCAGAGACAACTATGACTCCATGAGGAAAATGACTCAAAAGAAAAGGGAATTTCTTTAAAATGCACTTCTGATTAGGCAATTACAATTAGCCAGCAAGAAGAAAAGTGAGAGACAGGCACAGACATGACTGCAGTCACACAGAAGCTCTCTGATGGACTCTGATTTTTAAGTGCATCCGTGAAAGACAGACAGTGTGCCAAGGGGGAAGCCAACGGGAGGGCACAGCCCTGTGAACTACCATCCCAAAAGAAGAGAGAAAGGGAACTTAGAAACAAAAAAAGCACATAAATTAGGGAACAAATAAGCTAAGGCAAAGAGAGGGAATCACAGCTAACTGGGGATTTGGTGGCTCAACATGAAGCTGCCCCTTCCCACTACAGACTTCTGCCAACTTGAATTTCTCTATCTACTCCAAGCCACAGCCATCCCTCTGCCGAGTTCCCAGAGCACTTGCCCAAAGTTTACCCGAAGTTGAATGGGTAAAGACCTTAGTGAGCTCTACACAGGGCCCTGATTATCTAGCTCTTACTTCCCTCACCATCCTCATCTTGCCACTCCACTGGCCCTGCCTCTCTGAGCTCTAGCCTCAACGACCCACTTTCACTTATTTGACCCCCACAGCCTTTGCTCAGCCTGGAATGTACCCTCCCCCCTCCCCAATGAATTACCCGCTCCCAGTCTAAGACTAGCTTCTTTGTTCATGCCTTTACTAAACTTATCTCAGTTTGTTTATCTGCTTATTTAGGGGATTATTGTTGAATGTCTTCACTGTCAGCTTCCAGGAAAGCAAGAACCACAGCTGGTTGTGCTCACTGAATGGGGTTTCATTCTTTTCAGCCCCTTTTTCACTTATAGATGAGAAGTCATGGGAGACATTGTTTCTCCACCTTACCCCTCTTCACTGAGGAGCCGGTGTCACTGGGTAGTATGGTATTTTGAACCAGAAATCATGAAATGGAGTTTTCATTTTTGCTCCCACTCTCACACAAACTCTCCAAGTGACCTTGCAACCTTGACACTTCCCCTCTCTGAACCTGCTTCCTCTTTTATAACGTGAAAGTTTAACCTAGATAGTGTCTGAAGTGCATCCTTCGATATATCATTCTAGATCTTTCAATAGACTAACAAGACAAAGCAGAAAAACTTAGAAATTAAAAAGAGCAAAGAAAAGGAAGAGGTCACACTAAGGAAAAGAGACAGCCTGGTAGTTGCTTGAGCCTAAGCTCTGGTGTCTGAATCCCATGTCAGCAATTTGGTAAACTTGCAGTCTTAGACAGGTTGGTTAATCTCCCTGGACTTTGACTTCCTCTTCTATAAAATGTAACAAGAACACCTACCTCACAGATTTAATGCGAAGATTAAATAAGATAATGTATTAGAACACCTGGAAGACTATATTAGGTCCTTTCCTCCTTCCCATCCCTCTTACTGTCACAGAATTTAAAAGCAGGTTATAATTAAATAGGGGATGAATTGAGACAAAAGGCTCAATTGTCTCTGTATGTAATAATGGTTTATGCACACTTCATTCCTCTGAAGATGCTTTCTACAACCTAAAAACAAATAATTGCATCCCCTGAAAAATTCACAGGGAAGAGTTGTGTTTACTTTTTCATTCAAGCAATGCTGTCAGATCCAACTACATGCAATGATTTTAAAGTTGCTTCCAAAGATGTTTACTGATGTTTCTTGTCTTCATGGTACAATGGCAAGAGCATGGCTAAAGTCCATACGCAGACTCCACCACTGACCATGCACTCAACTACGTTGATCACCTTCACCCTTTTCCTGGATGTCACAGAATACAATGAGATTTCATAGAAGGAGGAGGAGAGAGGGAGGGGGGATATTTCAAACCATTTCTTTTTTCATCTTTTCTTTTAAACAAAAAAATCCTAGAATCAATAAATGACAGGGTGTTTGAGGCTGAAAAGACCTTTAAGAATGATCTCTTTGCGCCCCGTCACTTTTCCCGTCATTTGGCGTTTGGTGGAGGTAAGAGACTTGAGCACCTAAATGCAGTGGAAAGAGAAGATTGGACTTAGAACAGAAACCTGACGTTAGTGTGCTGGCTCTGCCAGTTTTGCGACTGTAGGTGGCCACTTAACATCTTCAAGGGCCCGCAGCTGTGAAAAGAGATAGTAATCAGTACCTCTGTGGGTTAAGTGTGGAGCCAGTGAGACAATGCAAGTGAGAGCTCTTTGTGAAGTATAAGGTAGTTTTCAAATGAAAAGCACCACCATGATTCTTTGGACCCGCAACCTCCAGGTTTATAGGGTGTATCCACTCACCTACCAAAATATATCATCTCATCTTGCATATCTAATTTTGTGAATCCTGAAAGAAAAAATGCTTATGTCTAACAAAAACTCTGGCACAGAATAAGTATACAATAAATTTTTTTTCTGTATGATGTAGGTGGAAAATGACTAAAGTTTTTGAAATCTCCTCAGAGTCAAGAGGTGGGTGCTTGAAGCCCCCAAAGTTCCTGTCACAGGACAGTCCCCAAACACCCCCTGGGCTCCAGCAGAGTTCTACGTAGCATGTTTCTCTCTCCATTCCCCAGGAGGAGGTGGTCTGATGACGAGGCTTACTTACAAGTCAGTCTTGGTACACACATACAGAAAAGTAGGTTCCCCAAAACAAAGTGAGGACTTCCCACTCTCTAAACCTCACCTATGTTGTTCTTCCTTTAAAAGCCAGTTTCCAAAAAGGTCATATGAAGGAAAAAGTTAAGTGAAACCTCAACCTGAGTTGGCAGTCTAAAAAAATTCCAACTATCCTTGAGAAATTCAACAACCACATTCAGGGAATTCTAATTTTTTACAACAGAGGAGGGCCCAAGGCCAGGACAGGTGTTACCACTAATGGTAGAACCAAGGATGTTTTCCTGGATTACCAAACAGATACTATATATTCCTCTCAGAAACTAAATATCTTCAGGGTTTCAAGGGAGGCCTTCACCTGAAAATGTCCTCCCTGTTGAAGTTTTCAAACCAATATTTTTGTAAGAACTATATTGTCTTTGGTGAACTAAGGCGTTTCAGTGATGACTCTACAGGTTCCCAAGTGACAGAAGCCATTATTAGCATTGTTATTATTTTTGTTTAGTTGCATCTCCATAGTAGCCCACATTCACAATGTGCTTGCAATTGTTTCTTGGTAATAGTCCTCACAAGATCTCCGGGAGGCAGAAGGAATAACCAGGATTAATATCTGTGTTGCCTGAAGAACCACGGGCATAGAGGATTGGCTACCATCACCATTCAAACAAGGATCCGTCCTGAGACACCCAAGATCTGCCCCAATCTGGTCCTAAATATACACTGTCTACATCTAGGTTACATTATTTCTGTGGCTCTTGTTTATAACTATTGTGACCAGGTCTACGACCAGGAGCATCTGGACCGGCAATAGAATCAGAATCAGAGATCTTGCGCTTAGGATAGACCTTAATGATCATCTAACCAAACCCATTACTTCCCATTAAACAAGACTAGAGAAAATACTTTACCCAACTCACACAAGCCACTTCACTCCCAGTTCTGAATGGTCTTGCCTTTCTATACCATGTTACATTGCCATGCCTCACCTTCCTCTCTTTACCTTTTTGTTCCCCTCTTCTACCCTCTTTTCCCATCCATTTTCTTCATTTAAAATTTACATGGCTTAAACTCCAAACAGGAAACCTTCAACATTTATCTGCCAAGAGTCTGATGTTCTACCACCTGAACTGGGCCGGCCTCAGGATACCAAAAAAAAGTCTTTGATAATAACAGCCAGGCAACCCTGACGCAGGGTCGTATGTAAGAGTCCCTCCCCTTCCCTTAACCTCTATTCTCAAATCCAGCTTCCAGCTTTTGGCCAGGGCCTTGCCCATATTTCCTTGAGTCTACAGCTCACACACCTTAGGTTTATTCTAGAAAAGACCAGACTTCCCTCTGGGCCCTGAGAGAAGGCCACTTTGCTGTAACATGGCCAGGGCAGGAAGCTCTCTCCTAAAGCCCTATCACTTCTGTAGGAAATGGGTTAACAGTATTCAGAGGAGTAAGAGGATTATCACTTCTCTCTCCCCTACCGGGCCCTAACCAGGAGGTTGTCTCCCCATACGCAGAGTGATTTATGCCTATTCAACAAATGTCCCTCTTCAGAAAAGATGGATCATCTTCCCTCATAGCCAATGCTTATTTGCCAGGGGCTGCCAAGCATTCCATCAATTCATACTCAGCCCCCAGGGTACAAAAAACAAATTATGCTAAAACACAAACTACAGTTCCTAAGCTCCTCTCCAACTCCAGCCATCTAGAATTCTGATTTTAGGAGTTCTCCCTCCCTCCCTACCATATGTTTTTAGAAAGTTACACTTCCTGCCCTTCTTCCCTTTTTCTAAGACTACATGTTTATAATTGTTTAGAGCAAAGCCATAAACAAATGAGCCAAGTTAGAAACTCCTGGATTCTTTGCACACAACACTATTATCAAGTATGTAATCTGTCATTATTTGGCCAGTTTCCGGTTAAAGGAACATAAAAAAACATAATTCTTCCCTGTAAATTCCCCGTGACGCACACAGACCACACCTACCCCAAGAAGACAAAAGGCGAAGTAGCCTGACTAGGGCTAAGTCTGCAGACAGAGAGGGAGTCATCTCATTGGCGCCTGAGCCAGCAAAGGTATTGTCCTTATCACATCTTTGACTTTTAAAATATGTTTTGCTTTTCTCCTTGGCCATTGTCTCTCAAACTGCCTTCTCGGAAGTACAAGCCTCTTCCTTCCTTTCTTGTCTGTCCGTGGTTTGGTGTGTGAGTTAGAATCACAGTCAAATTTCAGAAAATAATTCTTTCTACTGATGGGGAACTGAGGGACAGAAGAACTGGTTTCACATGAGGGCATTGGTGGGTGCAGCCAAGCCTTCCCTCTACTACTAAAACTATTAGGAGAAAACTAGAAATTTCCAAATTTGTCTCTCTCTTGCGTCTATATAAGGCAAATACCTCATTCTTGTGGGGGTTTTTCTTTAATTTATCCAAGCTTTCATTGAATGCCTACTGTGTACAATGCATTGGGTTGGGCACATAAGGAATACCAAAGTTCTAAAAGAAGTTTACAATCTAGGAGAGGAGGCAGATACATATGCAAATAACTCAAGGGAGTGAAAAGAAGAATGGGGAAAATGCTGAGTATGGGCTAAGTCATTCATTAAGCTTCTCAAGAAGCACAAAGCTGAGGTGATTCCCTTTGCCGGCATTTGGTTCAGTGGCTGGCTAGGCTGACAGCCACCGGTGTTCTCTGTTGCAGAAGTCAAGATGGCCAAAGTTCCTGACCTTTTTGAAGACCTGAAGAATTGTTACAGGTAGGAAATCAATTCTATCTCTTGCGATTTAATGAGGGGATCAAGGTACGTTAGAATCGATCTAGGAGTTAGGGTAACTAGCATGGAGCCAGACTGGCAGAGGTATAGAGATGTGTCCTACCTCTGAAGTCAGGGCAGGTTCAGCAAAGATCCAGAAAAAGTAAGCATCTAGCATGTTACACTGAGAGGACACTGGCAGGGAGACAGCCATTTTAGAAAAATTATTTCTGTAGTCTCCTGAGTCCTAGTGAATTTCAACATCTACTTAGACACAGCCTCAGTCAGGTTCACATGCTCTGATACCGTAATGGGTTTGTAATGGACTGTCAGAGAGAGAAACCATTCTCAGGAAAACTTCTGGATCTCAATCTGGAAGAGGTAATGGCTCCACAGCAATTTGAGCATGTGAATGCACATACACAGTCAAACCTCATTTCAGACATAAGAGAAGGGAAAATGAATAAAATTAAAAATTATAGGATAGTTTAAACAAACATGGTATTCCCATTACCTATCAATATATACTAACAGAAACTAGGCTATCAAAATGTTGCTGGATAATTCCCAAGTATAAATTATTAAATCTGTTTTAGTGAATACACGGAAGCAATGTACAACACATGACGTATTTGCTTAAAATTAAAATGAGATGCTTCAGGGATGCCTGGGCGGCCCAGTTGTTAAGCATCTGCCTTCGGCTCTGGTCATGATCCCAGGGTCCTGGGATTGAGCCCCGCATCGGGCTCCCTGCTCCTCAGGAAGCCTGATTCTCCCTTTCCCACTCCCCCTGCTTGTGTTCCTTCTCTCTGTGTGTCTCTCTGTCAAATAAATAAATAAAATCTTTAAAAAAATAAATAAATAAATAAAATGAGGTGCTTCAAAAGCATTTCTCTCTTGAGGAGGTTAACGTTTTTCCCTGAAATTCAACTACAACTCTTCAATTTGTTAGCCAAGCCCCATTTTTAGAGATAAAGCACAGGTAAAGTTCAAGACCTGTCCTGATGCTTACTAATTCCAAATTAGTGAGGCACAAATTACTGCATATATGTATGTATATGTATAGAAGTCCTTAATTTTCAAAGATGACAGTAATGACTGTGTGTGTGTTACCCAAAGCTAATGTGGTCATTAAAATACGTTGCCCAGTGACTGCAGTTATATAACAAACAGAATTACATTCTCATTATCTTGTTTGACAGTGAAAATGAAGAATACAGTTCTGAAATTGACCATCTTTCTCTGAATCAGGTAAGCAAATGACTGTAATTCTTACGGGATTGCTATTCTTTTTTTTAATTAATATCCAATGTATTATTTGTTTCAGGGGTACAGTTCTGTGATTCATCAGTCTTATATAATATCCAGTGTTCATTACAACATATACCCTCCCCAATGTCCATCACCCAGTGACCCCATGCTTCCATCCCCCTCTCCTCCAGCAACCCTCAGTTTGTTTCCTAAGATTAAGAGTCTCTTATGGATTGTCTTCCTTTCTGGTTTTGTCTTGTTTCATTTTTTCCTCTCTTCCCCTATGATCCTCTGCCTTGTTTCTTAAATTCCACACATAGGATTGCTATTCTTACACAGTATTTTCTCTACCAGGAGAAAACAGCAATAGCTTGAATCCTAGAAGCTTTTGTTTCACCCTCACTAGAGGTTCAGACACATACATTTCTTCATCATAAGTGAGACCAACTGCCTCTCTACACTAATAGTGGATGACATTCTCCATGCTCAACAGATTTTCCAAGGGAAAGGTGGGAGGGAGGGAGGGAAAGATGGGGGGATGGGGAAGAAGAGAGGGAATGGGGAAGAGAAGATTGATGAAATAGAGATCCTTCTCACTAAATCTATTGGATAAAACTTCTACTGAAAGGGATCTCATTCTGTGACCAAATGCAGTCCCTCAGTTTCCATTTTCCTTCCTCCTAGAAATCCTTCTATGATGTGAGCTATGACCCACTTTATGAGGACTGCATGTCTCTGAGTACCTCCAAAACCTCAAAGACATCTCAGCTTACCTTCAAGGAGAATGTGGTGGTGGTGGCAGCCAATGGGAAGGTTCTGAAGAAGAGACGGTTGAGTTTAAATCAATTCATCACTGATGATGACCTGGATGGCTTTACCAATGATGCAGAAGAAGGTAAGAGGTCAAGTGCAAATAATATCTTAGTTTTCCATTTTTAAGCAAATGGAGACAACAGAGCACAGGAGAAAATAAAGCCTAGAATCAGAGGAACAAGAGGGCAACCAGGCATCAGTCTAGTAACTATAAGGAAGGAAAATTAATTTTTATCCTTCTCCAGTGGGGAGAGAGGAGCAGTGGCCTGAGTCTACAGAATACTTCCTCATGGGCTCATTTTGTGGCCATATTGTAAAGGTCATGTGACTTTTATCCTTATGGCAGAAAGCAGTTATATACTGTTAGCGGGTGACTACTTACAAGCTATATTCCTCCAGATAATAACTATGCCCCTTTGGGTAAGTTACTTAACCTTTCTGTGCTTCAGTTTCCTCTACTATAAAATGGAGATAATCAGAGTCCCCACTTGTTGTGACGATTAAATGAGTCAATGCTCGTAAGTTCCTGGACTAGCATAATGCCTAGTACATAAATACCCAATAATTGTTAGGTATTGTCGTTACTCTTCAGCCTCCTCCTCCTCCTACTACTACTACCTTTGTTAATACTACCAACACTGCTAGTTGAGGCGCCCGGGTGGCTCAGTCGTTAAGCGTCTGCCTTCAGCTCAGGTCATGATCCCAGGGTCCTGGGATCGAGCCCCACATCGGGCTCCCTGCTCCGTGGGAAGCCTGCTTCTCCCTCTCCCACTCCCCCTGCTTGTGTTCCTGCTCTCGTTGTCTCTCTCTCTGTCAAATAAATTAATAAATAAGATCTTTAAAAAAAAAGGAAAAAAAAATACTACCAACACTGCTAGTTTATTAATGGCTACATTATCTCTATACTTCACAACAATCTTACATTCTCATTTTACATAGGAGGAAACTAAGCTCAGTTAGATAAGTCACATAGTGTGTAAGTGGGAGAGCTTTAAACCAAATTCAGTTCTGATTTTAACAGTCAGGATTATTCTCCCATGCTGCTACTGTATAAGCCTCTACATGAAACATAAACCAAATATTTTTTAAATAATAGCTTTTTAAGGTAACAGGTAAACACTAATACACATTCACCTAGAAAATATGGGAAGATACAAGAAAATGTAAAAAAGAAAATAAAAACACTAAGAGTTTTGCCACTGCCAAGACTAGAGAAAATACTTAAGTATTTGATTAAGGGTCAATCAGCAATTTAAAGTCTTTTTCATGTACATACACACATATAAACAAACATTATTAGGATTATATTATATACAATTTTATATTCCGCTTTTTTCACTTAGCAATATATCAAGGGCATTCTAGGGTACCAGTTTTTCAACATTATAAGTAATATAATAATGAACATCCATATCAATAACATCCATATCATATCTTCACTTTTATCACTATTTCCTTAGAATAGATTCCTAGACATAAAAATTACTCAGAAACACGAGGATTTGTGAAGCTGTTGATATATACCACTGTCCAGAAAGCGGAGTAGACATTTAGACCTGCATCCTCAGTGACATACATGGTCTTAATATATTCATTTTTTTCTCAGTGTATTCATTTGAAAAATGTAGATAGTGAATGCTAGCAGTCTTCCTATTTTCTTAGAAACCTCCAAACAACCAAAATGAAATATTTAACAAATAATCTCTTTTTAAAAAAAATTACTGTCTGAGAAATTGAAGTTTAAAAAGAAATAAGCAACCATGGGGATAATCCTAGAAACCACTTCTGCTGACTGGGTGACTTCTCTTCTCGCTCAGTTTCTTCACCTGGATTAAAATATTCCTAATGTTCCTTCCATAGCTACTTTTGTTGCTTGTATTAGAGCACATATAGCTTCTGTGTTTATACCATAGACATTAATCTGAGCTTGTGATAATGGTTTTAGAAATCATGAAGCCCAGATCAGTAGCATACAACTTCCATAGCAATGAAAAATACAACTATATGAGGATCATCAAATCCCAATTCATCCTGAATGACAACCTCAATCAAAGTATAATTCAACAAACAGGGGGAAATAACCTCATGGCTGCTGCATTGCAGAATCTGGAAGATGCAGGTAAGTGGACAGCTCTGTCATCCTCCCCTCCTCTTATTTTTGTATTTCTTTCAAACTTTCTGCTTTCAAAATATAAACCTCTCTAGATTCCTAGCTTTGCACAATTCTTCTAGAATAGGATGAAGTACAACACCCCCAGTAAAATTCTGGGCAAGGACAGGAGCTTCAGTCAAATCAAGAAGCTCCACAAGAGAGAAGTTTCCTATCTTTGAGAGCCCCGAGTATAAAGCTTTCTGATGAAGTATCTCCTTTGGTTCTCTCAGATATTCTTATCCTTGGTTTTAAAGATGAGGAAACTGACTCTCAGAAATATTAAATGACTTACCCAGATTTACCCAAGAAGCCAATAAGGAGCAATCACTCTCCATTAGAAAGCTTACTGTTCAAACTTACAAATAACACCAAACTAGAAAGAATCTTATCTTTGATAACATAGTTGTGAAGCAAAACATCCAATAAGCTGAGAATATGTTCTGGAGGATGAAATTTAGTGTCCAAGACATTTTGTCACACAAATTAATTTCTATGGTATACATATTTTAGCTTCAGGACTTGTCTTCAGTATACAAAATTAGTTTCAGAACTCCAAAGAGGCTACTTGGCAAACAGGGCTCTTTCTGATTGGACATACTTCGGATAACATGCTTTCCACTCCATGACGTTTACAAATTATTTTGTGCTGTATTTTCCTACTTAATATTATGTCACATAATTTCCCCACATATTGAAATAGCATATATATTTGCCATGTTTAATGGCACTAGAATATTCAATCATGTTGCTTTGCTGGTCCCTTGGGTTTGCTCTAAGTAACTATTTTGCAATAGAGTTTGTATATATAATTTTTTCCCTATGAGTTTATTTCTTTGGATCATACCCCAAAAATGGAACTCCTGGGTTCCTAGGGATAAATAATTATCCCTAGGATTTTATTTTTATTAAGCATTGTTCTCTAAGGAAAACAACTACTTTTCACTATCACTAGCAACATGAGTATATCAGCTTCCCTAAGCCCCTCCATTTTAGGTTATTATGAACTCATGAGCTCACCAGTTGAAGGGTCTTATCCCATTAATGTAATTACAAGACATTCAACAAATAGCCCCCAAGCATTCATTCAACATAGAAGATTCTAAAGACAATCACAAACAATGAATCATGGAACACTACATCAAAAACTAATGATGTAATGTATGGTGATTAACATAACAATAAAAAAAAGAAAATTCTAAAGACATTAACCAAGTATTACCTGCCTAGTAAATATGGCACACATTGTGAAGGATACAAAGATGTATGGAATTCCATTCTGGTGTTTACACCATAGTTGGAGACTTAACTACAAACACACACACACACACACACACACACACAATCTACATAAGACTTGATTTCATTCAAATACAACATATTTACTTTCTTTTTGGCTTTTCTCTTTGCCAGCGAAATTTGACATGGGCGCTTATACATCAGAAGATTCTAAACTTCCTGTGACTCTAAGAATCTCAAAAACTAGACTATTTGTGAGTGCCCAAAATGAAGATGAACCTGTATTGCTAAAGGTCAGTCATTCTCAGACTCCAATTTACCTTCATTTACAACCCGTATGTTTGTGAATGATTCCAATAGGCAGATACCCCTAGCAGGGTAGCACAATCCTCTTTTCCTACCACAGTTTCCACCTGCCACCTACCCCCACATGCTACTTCTCACCTATCCCCAGAGGCACTTCTAGGCAGAATCTGTAAGAAAGTAAAATGGAGGTGGCAAGAGTGAATAAAAGGTAAATTGCTTTCTTCCTTCTTTTTCCATACCATGCCTGACCCTAGCCACCTCCCATCCCAGGGCATCCATTTATTCCATCCATCTTGAACCTTACTAACATTTACCATCTGACCTATGTGATGGTAGGCATTAGGACAATGGGGCCTGATTCCAAGAAACTCAAATAAGCCAAATAGGAGCAGAGAGTGTTAATCATCTGCCAATGGGCTCAAAACAAAAAACTGGGAGCCAAGACTCAAACTCTGGCCTTTTGATTCCATTGCTTCTCTCTCTTCATTGGTGCCAGCATTATCCTTCATCCCAGCCCCATCTCCACTACCACCTCCCCCTCAAACATACAGACACACACACGCCCACTATAGCCTTAGATGTTTACTCCACTGATAAGTAGGTGACTCTTATTTAGTAAATGTATAATGCAAACCCCCAACTCCAACTAGGATTTTTGTAGGTGCATGTATTTCTCTACCTGGATCAAATGAAGTAAAAGTGATGTCTGTAAGACTAGGGCAGTAGCTTCATTCATGAATTCATTCAACAGGCATTATTTATTGAGAGACTTCTCTTTTTCAAACATAGTGCCAACAGTTATGTAGACCATGGTGAGCCAAAGTCCTTAGCCTCATTGAACTTAGTCTTCTTGGGGACACAGACAGTAGACAAGCCCAACCACCAGCAAAAAGTACAAGATGCTATAAAGCAAATAAACAGGGTGCTGAGATAGAGAAAAATGGGAGCGTGCCCTTTACATAGAGTGGCAAGAGCAGAGCTCCCTGTGAGATGGGATCTGCTGATAGGAAGGAGCATGATGCAAGGGAACAGGTGAGGGTGCGCATTCCAAAGAGAGGGATCTGAGTGCATCTAGGACCTAGAGCTTCAAGAGTTTAAAGGCCTGCTTCAGAAATCAAAAGGAACACTCTAAAACTGGGGCACTGTGAGAAGGAGGAAAGATAAGCAGAGGCTAGTGTTTGCAGAGCCTTGCATTTCAGTTTCATTTGAGGTACAATGTAAAGCCATTAAAGGGTTTCAAACAAGGAATTGTCCTAACTTCACTTATAGTTTCTAAAATGGAGAATAGATCAGCAGGAAGACAATGGAGAAAGCACAGAACCTAATTAGGAGGTAATATAATAGTCATGAGAGTGGGGGTGGTGAGGCAGATAAAAATAAGTAGACAGAACTGGTTATATTTCAGAGATAGAACCAACAGGAGGGAGGGGAGAAAATATATTTACTGAGATGGGAAAAAACTAGGAGAGGAATGGGTTTGGGAAGTTAAATTCCTTGTTGACATTGAAAACCCCAAGGAAACCTCAAAAGGATAATTAGTTGCTTTAGATTAAAAAGAACACAGAAGAAGCATCTCAAGTTGAAAAGTGAATTTCACTTTTCCATGAAAGTATTGTTATTCTATTCATACTTGCAAGTATAGTACAGCCTAAAGAGATCACAATTGTCAAAAATTGTATTGAAAGGAATCAGCTGCTGATATACCTGGAAGTGTGTGGGGGGGGTGGGGGGGATTAAACTTTTAATTGTTGGCTTAAATATGGAGACAAATATCTCTAACAATAAATTATCTTCCTAAAGATATGATCTGCACACTTAGCGGTCAAATGTTTAGAGGTCTCAATTGGAGTGCTCAGATTTTATGCAAAATGCCTTTTGCTTATGTTGAAGGCAGGACAAGAACAATGTTTTTACTCTACCTGCCACAATATAGTGAGACACTACTGTCACTGGCAATCCATGACTAATCTGGATTTCTCTCCAGTTAAGTAAGGAAATTAACTATTATGTGTAGACTGGGCCATACATCTAGTAGGCATGTAATAAATGCTTGCTGAATGAACAAGTGAATGAAGAATCTATATCATTATATTACAGAGTCAGAGTCCTAAAGTGCTATATTCCTCACAAAGGCCAAATGTCAAGGGATTGCACTTTAGTTCTTTGTCTAAAATCTTGTTCTTTAACATATCTCTGTTCTCTTTATCATAGGAGATGCCTGAGACGCCCAAAACCATCAGAGATGAGACCAACCTTCTCTTCTTCTGGGAACGTCATGGCACTAAGAACTACTTCACATCAGTTGCCCAGCCAAAGTTGTTCATTGCCACACAGGAACGAAAACTGGTGCACATGGCAAGAGGGCAACCCTCTATCACTGACTTTCAGATACTGGAAACCCAGCCTTGACTCTAGAGTCTACTTACTTGTGAAGTGTTGACAGTCCATATGTACTATGTACATGGAGGAGTCAAATCCTTTACTTAGTCACTTTCTGAGCATGTGCTGAGCCTTTGTAATTCCAAATGAATGTTTACTCTCTTTGTAAGAGAGTGAGCAAGGTCTAATGGAACAACACTAACATATGATGTTGTTTGTTATTTAAAGAACACCCTATACTTTGCAAACTACCAATCAGTTTAATTATTATTCTTCATAATAATCTTGGGAGGACTGGAGCTACTGACTATGGCTACCATAAAGATCTTACCCATATTACAGATGGGTTAAGTAACTGAGGCATTAGAAAACTAAATACCCACAACAGCAGTTGAAATGAGAAGCCATAGGCCCAGGATTTTATTCCAACTGCTTGCTTTTAAGTTGCTGATGGACCCTTAATCAAATACTATAAGTTTCTGGGACCTCAGTTTGATCATCTTCAAAATGGAGGGGATGATACTTATATCCTTCCTGCCTCAACAGTATTTTATGCTAATCAATGAGATCAGTTTAATAAAATAATCCTTTTTTTTTAAAGATTTTATTTATTTATTTGACAGAGAGAGACACAGCGAGAGAGGGAACACAAGCAGGGGGAGTGGGAGAGGGAGAAGCAGGCTTCCCGCCGAGCAGGGAGCCCGATGCGGGGCTCAATCCCAGGACCCTGGGATCATGACCCAAGCCGAAGGCAGACGCTTAACCGACTGAGCCACCCAGGTGCCCCTAATAAAATAATTCTTGAATGAAAATACTGAGCCTCAAGAAATCGAAGATAAATATTTATTATTATTTATGTATACATATATATTTATAAATATATTTTAAGATAATTATATTTTTATATTTATGGCAATTCCTTGCATTCTCTGAGTGTGACCAGTCATCCTTAACAATAGGAAAGAGTGTTTTTTAGGCTAAATGAGTTTGATTTAGTTATACTAAGGCACTTTGGTCAAGTCCTGCTTTTTGTAGTACCTGGAAGCCCTATAATTGTGATAATAAATTTATATTAATACTTGGAGCTGATAATTAATCAATCCTTCACTCCTCTACTTTTAAACTTGCTTTAGCATTCTTGTGTCAATTTCACCTGCTATCAAGTCTTACTAGCTAAAATGGGATAAACTTAATTTTGGTAACCATGAGACAACTGTGAATCTAAATGTTCTTTTCTGAATGTAAGCAACATTCCTTCTAGGTTCTAAAAGTTGTGATCAAACTACAGTGTTATATTACTATCAACAATAAGCACTGATACATTATTATTATAAGTCATAATTGAATAAAACTTAGAAAAAAGTAAATCTAACATACATTTATTGTCTTAATCATTATTTTAATGCATGGTAATTAGGAACAAATGATAAAACTTCACATAAATAACTGTAATTAGTGTTACTTTACAAAACCAAACCAAGGTTTTACAGTTTTTCTCTCCCCTTTGTTAGCTTGCCAGTATGCACCACAAGTGGTATTAAGAATGAGGGACGCCTGGGTGGCTCAGTCGGTTAAGCAGCTGACTCTTGATTTCGGCTCAGGTCATGATCTCAGGGTCGTGAGTTTAGGCCCCTCAGCGGGCACCCTGCTCCGCAGGGAGACTTGCTTTGAGATTCTCTCTCTCCCTCTCCCTCTGCCTCTTACCCAACTTCTTTCTCTCTCCAAAATAAAAATAAATAAATCTTAAAAAAAAAAAAAGAATGATAATGTTCCCAGGTTCACATAAAGCTTACATTACACATGTACAACACTTGTGTTTATAGCCATACAAACTCACAAATACAGAACAACATTAAAAACTAATGGATCCATAAACCAAAAATGAGACAGAAGAAAGAGAAATTAAGGAGTTGATCCCATTTACAATTGCACCCAAAACCATAAGAT